CTCATGTTCCAGACAAATCAGCCTACTTGCTATTCCTAGAACTTAGCATTCCATCTCCTTTTGCTTTGCTTTCTCCCCCACGTGGAATGAATGTTTTCCTGACCTCCCATCTCCTTCAAGACTAAGCTCAGAGAGCACCTCCTATAAGAAGCCTTTCTCGAATTCTGCAATTTGTTAGTGCTCTCGCCCTCCTCTAATTAGTGTCCTATTTAAATGCTATACGGTGGGGTGGAGATGAGGGGGCCAACATGGGATAGTGGGAAGAAGCAATGTGGTAAGTAAGCTCCCCATCCATAAACCCCTCCAAAAAGATCTAGAAAATGCACCAGACTGAATCCTGGTGAGAAATGTAGAAAAGATCCGTGAATCCTTTGACCACAGGTTTGGCACAGGCAGACAGAAAAGGGAGGTCCTTGGGCACTGCAGATAGTGTCTGCCAGAAGCACACCATATGGGGAATACTCAAGTGCCCAGGAAAAGGCCATGCATAGGCCATGCACAGGGCAAGAGGAGGTCCCCAGACTCATAATGTGGTACCACCAGATCCATACCAGGGCACCACGATGGGTGCAGGTGTGAACTGACAGCTCTGTCATCCACTACCCAGTTCTGAGTCACAGATCCTGGGTGGAATAAGGAGACCTGTGCCTAATGGTGGCAGTGGTGACATTCTTGGGCAGGAAGACCCTGTGCGGTACACAAAGAAAGGAGGAAACTGAGAAGTAAGCGGTAGTTGTCTGGCTCAAACATCAAGCTCACAATTAGGCCTCACTTTCAGCATCTAGCCCAACTTGCAGAGGGATAACCAAGGCAGGAATCCCACACCAAAGTCCCCTGCACTGCTCAAGTGCCATCCTCTTGTATATATATAGTTGTCTGCAAGGTATTTCCCCTATTAGAATGTGGGGTCCTTCAGGGTAAGGACCAAGTTTTTGCCTTTCTTTGTATCCCCAATGCTTAGGACAGTGACTGGAACACGCTAAGCACTTAATAAATGCTTATTGCTGCTGCTGTTATCATCAAGACACAGCTGTTTTCCTTGACAATAACCTCAAGGAAGTAGAATTATAGAATTCTGAAGCTAGAATAATGACATACATTAGGGTGGGGAGTTGAATAGAGCAGCTACGGGTAAAGTTATTTTCTCAGCATCCCTAAAGGTAACAGAATCATAGATGTTGATCTAGAAAGATATTTAGAGAATGTCTTCATTTTATAGATAAGCAAAGTACTGTTCAGAGAGGCAATTAACAAGGAAAAACTAGGTATAAGAAAAACAAATCAAGTCTGTCTTTAAAAAGTCAGTGTATTGCATATAAAACTGTTTGCTTTCCCAAATTACTTCCTTAATCCTGAACCGCCAACTATACGTCATATCTCTATATTGATAACTTTAAGGTCTAACCTTCTTGACCCTAATTCTTTTTTTTTTTTACTCTAATTCTTAAAGGCCACTTTAAATATAAAGGCCACTTAAAATATGAAGAATTAATGTAGTAAAAAGGAAAAGGTTACACATATGATGCTGATGTTACTACAAACTGATGGAATCCATTTTGGAGAATAATCTCACAATGAACAACAAAAGTAACAAAATTAAGTATTCCCTGTGATCAAATAATCTCAATACTGGAGAAATACTCCAAGGATGAAATTACAAAGAAAAAAGTAAGATTAATACAAAGATATTTATAGTTACATTTTTCCAATTAGCAAAAATAAATAAATAAATAAACCTAAATGTGCAGAACAGCTGAACTATGAAATGCTATATTCCCATTAAAAATGACAGGTACAATATAAAGAAATATGAAGGAAGAAAGTAGAGACTAGCAGTCTTAGAATTATACCAAGATATCACTATTTATACATATGGTGTACTTAAGAGTACGGAAAGAGGCAGCAAGAGAAAAAAATCAAACTCCTAGTTAGAGAAGAAAGGAAATGGAGAAATCAGAACATAGTCAAATTAGGAACTTAGAGATTTTCTTTAAAGGCAATAAACTGAAAGAAGCAAACAACAGAGATGAAAGCTGAATGAAAAAAAAGTGGAGTAGAGGGCCACAAATGTTAATTTTGGAGACAGAGGCAAGAAAGAAGAGACAATAATATAGCAATACTACACAATAAAGAGGTATGGGGAACTTTTGACAAAGAGGGTCTTCAGCAACCTTAAAACCTGGGCAAAGTCTTTTACAACATCAGGGGTATTAAAAGAAACTGAACCAAAAAATACCAGCTAGGTACATGTCTCATATGTCACTAACAGACTTCAAATCCCTAATGAACTCTTAGTTCACTAAGGAAGATGCAAGTTCCTTGAAGGCAAACCATGGTTTCATTTTGTATTTGTGTCCCCAGCACCAGTAAAGTGATTTGCATCTATAAGTACTTTTAACAATGTTTGATCTGAATTCTATAAACAAACATTTCCATGCACAGGCTGCTTTCCTCCTTCCACCTCTCCTAACTATAACAGTTCTAAGGCACAGCCGTCAGAAACAGGTTGAATAAGGGCCTCACCACTACTGGGTCAAATCACTACCCTGACCTGCCTGGTATTTAGTCCAGTTAGGGGAGAATAGTCAAACTACCCAATAGCACACTTATATTTCCCCCAGAGTTATCCAGTGAATTGAGACGAGACCAGTGAGAACCAGCAGTAGTGACTGAGCTTAGAAATGGAACTTGGTCTTAGCTTTGCCACTAACTTAGTTGTAAGATCTCAGACAGATAATTTTCCTTTGCTGGGTCTCAATGGTCTCATCTGTAGGATGCAACTGCACTAGACCTCAGACGAGGGTAAAGAAGGCAGTCCTTGCTTTCATGAGGCCTACATTTATTTCACCAGGGGAGATAACATGTACAAATGTAATGGTTATCAAACTATACACAAAGTCAACACAAGGCAATTTGTGAAGAAGACCACTGTGTGTGTATGGGGGGCAGGGAGTGTCCGTGAAAAAGTGTTTGATGATGAGAAATGGAGAGCCCTGTATGAGAAACAGATAGAGGCTGTTTGGCTGAGGATAGAATGCAGGAAAGCAACAAAGCTGGATGAAGTTGAGGCAGATAGGGAAAGACTTTAAATGTGAAAAAAAGTTTATATTTGGTCCTATAGCCATTATGGAATGTTTGGAATAGTGACCTAGTCAGACTTGCCTGAACTTCAGTAAGATCCCTTTAACAGCTTTGCAGAAGACAGAAATTAGAGAGAGGTAAGACTAGAGAAGGAGGAATCAACAGGTAGGTTTTTCTTTTTTTTTTCCCCATAGGCAGCTGGGGTTAAGTGACTTGCCCAGGGTCACAAAGCTAGTTAAGTGTTGAGTGTCTGAGGCTGAACTGGAACTTAGGTCGTTCTGACTGCAGGGCTGGTGCTCTATCCACTCTGCCATCTAGCTGCTTCAAATAGCAGGTTTTTCAAATGATCTAGGCAAGAGATAATGAGAGCTACTAGACCAATACTCTTGACAAGACATTAGTGCTGCCTCCCATTAAACTTAATGAGTACCAACTGGGGTAGGGAAGTCTTCATCTGATACATAAAACATGGGAATCGGACATCTCCAAAGGCCTCATGATGGAAAATGCTATCCACATCCAAAGAAAGAACTATGGAATGTGAATGCAGATCAAAGCATACTATTTGCTATTTTTTTTTCTCTTCTGCTGAGTTTTGTTTCCTCTTTCTGGTGGTTCCTCCTATTAGTTCTAATTTTTACTTACAACATCACTATTCTGAAAATATGTTTAATAAGATTGTATATCTAGAGCCTATATCAGATTGTGTGCCATCCTGAGGAAGGTGGTGGGAAGGAAGGGGGAGAAAAAATTTAAACTCAAAAGCACATGGATGTGATTGTTGATAAATCAAAATAAATAAATTTTTTTAAAAAAACATGGGAATCCCAAATATTTAAACAGGAATACTAAAATTCAATTACTGTTCCACAGACTAACCTGGTAATCTATCATTTGTAAATGTCCACCAAAAAACAAGCATCAGGATCCTGTCCTTCAGAGAGCAAGTAACTTCAGATTCCAAGTTCAAATAATACATTATAGTTTAAAGAAAATTTTCTTTTACCCAAAATATAACTCAAAAGAATGTAGGGTCAGAGAAAGAAAGGTAGAGTCAAAAAGAGGGAACCGAACTATACAGAAAACAAATATAGCAGAAGCTGTTTATGCTGTGAATTTTAGCCTTCCATTTTCTAATAAGGACTTTTTGGTGTTTGACAAAGAAAAGAATACAACCAAATTCTATTTTATAAGGATATTAGCAAAACAGATTATCTCTCAGGTCAACAACAGAAGACAGAAAAACCAACTTTTAGTAGTACAAGGGCCAGTCACCATACTGGATCACTCACTCCTCTTCTGCAAAGTGCCACTCCCTACACCCTTCAGAAAAGAGTCTTCCTTCAGCCTCTTAGGGCCTTCTTTTACACATAAAAGGAAGGTGGTCTGTGAGGTACAGCTCTGACTTTTAGTAATTCTGCTCAATAGTCCCACCAATGACATAAGCTAGTCCCCATTGTGTTATAGTCCTAACATTTAACTGTTATTTTTATCAATTTCACAGTTAATTTTTAATTTTCAAATTTGCATTTGAACAACTTTCCAAGTGTCCATTAAGAATTTCTAATTCTTCTTTTAAAAACTTCCCATTTATAACTTTGGACCATTCCTCCACTGGGAAGTTAGTACTACAAATATAGGCATGTATAATATCCTTATAGATTTTGGATGTTAGATTTTTATCACCTATATTTACCACAAATATTCCTTTCCCAAACAGTTTCTTTCCCTTTAATTTTGCTTTTCTGCCCCATGGGTATTTTTGCAAGGTTGCTGACATTCAGATTACATAATCTTTTTCACTTTTTCTATGACTTTCTTAACCTTTCTGTTATTATGTATTTCACTTGTATTGGGTAAGCATTAAAAATACAACTTAAGGGCTCAACCTTCTTAAATCAATAAAAGGAATCTCCTACCTTTCCAGGGTCATCCTTGGATCGAGGCACTTTAAGAAAACACTTGTTCAGAGATAAGTTGTGTCTTATGGAATTCTGAAATTGAAAGGGAAAGAGGGATCAATCAAAGGGTTAAATGAACTTTTTTTTAAGTCCTTAAAGTAGAAAAATAAATTTCAACATAAAACATTAATATGTGATTAAACATTACCTTTAAAAATAAAAGCATAAATATCATTAAGACGATCAACTATGAATGACTTAGCTATTCTCAGCAACACGATTCAAGACAATTCCAAAGGACCTATGATGGAAAATGCTATCCACTTTCAGAGAAAGAATTGATAAAGTCCGAATGCAGATCAAAGCATAATAATTTTCACTTTATTTTTTCATGTTTTTTTCCTGTTTTCTTTCACAACACCATTAATGTGGAAATATGTTTTACATGACTGCACGTGTGTAACCTACATCAAGCTGATTACTGTCTCAGGGAGGGGGAAGAAAAGGTGGGAGGGAAAAAATTTGGAACTCAATAATTTTCAAAATGAATGCAAAAATGGTTTTTACATGCAACTGGAAAAAATATTATTTTTAAATGAAAGCATAAAATTTAAATCAAGCATTCAACTCTGTTGCCTCTATTAACAAAAAATTCCTAAGGATAGTCCCATGGAGAAAGATGATTTGAATACTTCTCCTTTACCCAAAGAGTAATCTAACTATGAATTGCTAAAATCTCAATAACTGGATATAATCCCCTCCTTTCTAACACTGGGAAAGTCTTCATTACCAGAAGAGGCAATAAAATTTAGTTTCCCCCAACAAAGACTAAAGAGGACACACTGAACTATGACTGCAGAAGGAATAGGATTTACCAAGTTAAGGTAACACGCTTAACTGAGACCAGAACAACATAACCCCAATGTAATCTACAAAAAAATTAATTGGTCAGTTCAAATTATTCAACAGGTATTTTTTAAAGTATTTTTAAGTGCCTATTATATGCAAAGTACTGTGCTAGGAAAGAAGGAAACAAAGACAGATATGATACAGACCCTGATGGGGAATTTACAATCTAATAAGAGGAAACATGACATTTATGCAAATAATTAATTTATAAGTAAAAGTAGAAAGCAGAAATATAAGCAAACTGGTATTTGAGTGGGGGCCAGGAAAAAAGAAAGGTTTTTAAAAAAACAAATGAAGAGCCCATTCTAGGTATGAGGAGCCGTACAAGAAAAGGTAAGAGAATGAGAATGAAAAAGATAAAAATGGAGACAAAAAACAGTAGCACATTTGTGCTGGAATGAAGAGTAACACAAAAGAATATGGCTTCAAATAAAGACATGAAAGAAGCCTGGATCAAGGTTGTGGAAGGTCTAGGATACCAAGACAAGTTTATAACTTATTACATATGCAACAGGGAATCAAACAGGGTTTATGAAAGGTGTCTTAATAACAGCAATGTATAAAGAATATTATTAGGGCAAAGGATAGAGGCAAGAAAGTAATTTAGAAGGCTATTAAAATTTTTAAGTGAATTATTAAAATAGTCAAGAAGAGAAGAATCTGAACTAAGTAGCTGCACTGAGAATTACTAAGGAAGACTCAACAGAATGTGTGAGAAAAAAGAAAAGAATTAAAGATGTTCTTCGGGCTTTCAATTCCTCTCTATTCTCTATTTCAACATTCTTCCTCTGAACCTTCTTTTTTAAAAAGTACATAAGGAAAATAGAAAAGAGAGGGAGGGAATAAGCATTTATATAGCTCTGCTATGTGCTAGACACGGTGCTATTATGTATTTTATAATGATTATCTCATTTGATCCTCCTGACAACCCTGAGAGGTAGGTGTTCTTATTATCCCTGACTGCAGACGCTACACTCTATCCACCATGCCTACCTACCTGCCTTCTGTAAACTGAGCAGTGCAACATGGTATACCCCATCATCTGGACATCATAATAAAATACCCATGAGCTCAACATGGCAAGTACCATCATCCATATCATCTCAGAGTACCCTGGGGCTTGGGTAAAGAAACTTCTTACCTAAGATTTGTCTTTCCCCAGCCAATACTTTCCTCCCTGCTACTCATCTGCCAACCTTTTAATAAGCCTTTTTTGGAACAGGTAAGTCAACCTGACTTACATTCTGTGACTTACACTCTTTGTGAAATACATTTTGAGTGGAAGAAAGAGGAAGTAGGGTTAGCAATAGTAAGCAACTTTTTCAAGGAGTTTAGCTGAGAAAGGAAGGAAAAGATGTATGATGATAATTTGAGGGAAGATATGGTTTGATAATTTTTTCCCCTAAAGATGGGGGAAATTTGGGCATGTTTGAAGGTCAGAAAAGGAACCAGTTGATGAGGGAAGGTTGAAGATTAAAAAAAGGATGGTTAAGGCTATAATCTGATGGAGAAGACAGGAAGAGATAAGCAAGTAAACATATAGTGAAGATGAATGTAAAGGAGAACAAAGTGCTTTTTAAAAAGAGAGCTTTTTTTCATATATTGAGGGAAATAGGGAGAATGTAGGAAATGATGTCAAGGAGTTTTGAGATGAAGAGAATGGGAGAAAGGGTATTTCAAATGATCTAAATCTTCTCAGTAAAATAAGAGGTAAAATTCCCAGCTGAGAAGAGAAGTCTGGAATAGCTTCTGTGGGAAATAAGATAAGGAATCAGGGAGAAATGAAAGTACGGCCCTGCTGCAGAGCAGGACTAATGAAATCTATAATGTACCCAAGCTGATATGGTCATGGAACTTCCTCCAGCTTTATTCAGATGATGGGAACAATCCACGGCTGGGTTTTGATAAAAGAACAGTGGCAGCAGTACAAAAAGACAAGGGATTCAAGAAGCGAGGACAGTGCAGAACTGAAAAGGCTGACGATTTCCATTAAAGTTGGAGAGGGAGGAAAATGAAAGCAGAGAAGGGGTAATGGCTTAAGAAAGTAAAGAAGAGGGGAAAAACAACAAGCTTTTATTAAGTTCCTACTATGTTCCAGGCATTGTGCTATGTGTTTTACAGATATTATTTCCTTTGATCACAAAGCACTGAGAAGTGGAGGAAATAGATCTCAATGAGGGTAAAGAAAAGGCATGAGAGGGTTGAAGCGCAGGGAGAGACAGAATGGCAGAAGGATATGGTCAGATAAAGGAATGTCTACGTTCCTAATTAGGTAAGTGAACACTTGTAGGTAATGGCCAGATCCAGTGAGTGATCACCCATATGTATGACTGAGGTGAAGTGAAGAGTAGGTATAAAAAATTTAAGGAGGCTGCTGAAATGAGAGGATAGCAAGATTGAGGGAGCATCTGCATGGATATTAGGGTTTGCAGTAAAAGAAAAGAGGAAAATGATGAGGTAGAAGCTGAACTCCTTGAGAAAAGAAAGAGAATGACCTGGGAATTGATATACTGTAGCTATCACAACTTTGTTTTGAGAGGAAAATGTTAATTGTGTGGATTTCAAAAGAGGAAAAGCTACTCAGTAAAGGAGGTAAAGGTCTGGGAAAGACAATGATGATCAAGCAGTATTTCAATAAGCAGGAGTCGGAGTGCCATAAGTTAGGGATGGAAAATGAAAGCTGAAGATGCAGAGTCCTTAAAGTGGAGCTAGGTCTCAGTGACAGCTAACAGATGGAAAGAGTGCAACAGAAAAAGGTCCTATTAGCATGTACCTGACAGAAATTCATGGGTTTATATACATGAACTTTTTGGTTTTTGTACACTAAAATGTTTGTTTTTATTGATGATTCTAAGTTTATGATAAAAGACTTAAAAAACAATAACAACAGTGGCTATATGACTAACTACTGGTTAGGGATGTTACAAGTGTCCTTGCTATAGTATCAGTCAGACTAGAGGACCTCTAAGGTCCCACGATTACATATTTAATCACAACTATTCCTTTAACAGTCCCATCTGGGATTGTGTTCATGGTGTAGTATCTTATTTTAATTTGCTTTCTCTACTGGAATCAGAGCTGACTGCAATTCTTAGAACAGTTCTTAAAAAGATGACCAGGAACTCTAAAACACAAGACAAACTTATTGAAAAAATGTTCAGAAATTTATGCTCAATATAAATTTCAATATCATTAAAATTCACTATATATTCATACACAACAAATAAAACAAGAGAATCGAGGAAAGAACTGACCTTAGGAGCTTGTTTATTTAAGAGTACAAGTGGCAACTTTTTGGGTTTTTGACTGGACCAATGTCTTTTTTGTTTGGTTTTTTTGTTCATTTGTTTGTTTTCCAAAGTCCTTTTCTCAGTACTTATACTTCTTGACCTACTGAAACTTTTGACATTGTCCATCAACCCTTCCTCTTAGACACTCTGTCCTACAATGGATCAGACAGTGAGAAGACTAGAGATGTGCCTTAGGAAAAATATTTTTACTTCTACGTAGAGGATGGAAAAGAGAGTGAATGAAAGAAAGAAAACCAGTTCAGTTATGAGGCCTTTAAAGAAGCCCACACAAAAGGTGATGCAGGTCTGTAGGGTAAGGGCTCTGTAAATAGAGAGGAGGAGAGATGTGAGAGACATTGTTTAGGCAGAATTAAAAAGACTTAGCAAATGATTGGATATGAGATATAAGGAAGAGATAAGAATAACTCCAAGGGTAGTTACAACCCTAAGAAACTAGAGAATGGGTGTCTGCCTCAAAAACAGGAAAGTTCAGAAAAAATGAGGCTATATAGAAGAAGATGCTGTTTAATTTGGGGCATGTTGAATTTGAGGTAGATGACATGTAGCTGGAACAGTGCAACTGATAAACAGGAACAAGATTAGATCTGAGTATACAGATCTGGGAATTACCTGTGAAGAGAAAAATAAAATTCTGGGAACAAATGACCTCATCAAAGAAGAATGTATAAAGAAAAGGATAAACGGTCTAAATCAGATCCTGAAGAGATAATCATATTTAAGTGGTGGGAAAAGATGGGACAGGATGATAATCCATCATAAGAGATCAGCTAGTTGGGCTTCGGGTCAGGAAGATCTGAATTCAAATACAACCTCAGACACTTACAGCTATGTTACCCTAGGCAAGTCACTTTAACTCCTATGCCTCAGTTTCCT